GCTGTTTGGTGCAGAAATGCCAGGTTGTGAGCAGCGTTCTGTCCTCAGCGCTGCAGGCGGCGGGAGCCCGCGCGGGCTGTGGAGCTGTGGGGAGGCCAGGAGAGCCATGGGGCATGTGGGGAGCTGCTTCCTCCTCCACAGCACTCATCCTCCTTGGAATGCGAACGCTGCGCTTTTGGACGGGATTAGCAGTGCCCGACCACAGGTGAAGGAGGCAAGTACTCTCCTCTGAAGAATGGGATTGCCCCCACAGGGGATCGGGATGGGGTGAACGTGGGTATGGCACCATCCCCTGTCCGTGCTCACAGGTGAGCCGGCACGGAAAGCCTGGAGTGAACAGAGACAGTTCAGACATGCTCTTCCTGCAGAAAGGACCTATGGGTTCCTCCTAATCTAGGTGTTCCTCACACGTGGCAGTTTGGCACTAGGAGCTGGATTCACTCATCTTCAGTCAAAACCTTAAATCCCTCTACTCTTCCACAATCTGTTTTCGTCTTTGCTTCATGTGAAAGATAAGTCACCGCAGCAGACTAACGCAGGGCCCTGGGGCCCTCTTCTCTGTTGCCTCTTGCCCCATGTCCCCAGCTGAAGGACAGGAGCACTGCCAGGCACAGGGGCAGGAGGAAGCTCGACAGTCCAGGGCGCTGGACTCCAGGCCGTGTTCTCACTCTTCACCAGGCTGCAGATGGGCTACTGGGGCACAACAAATTGGAAATGCTTTGTAGAGGGTGCGGGCCATCTGCAGCCAAGGCAGGAGCTACACCGAGGATTTGTGTATCTTACCAGATCTGCTTGGCTACCAAAACCAAGTGTCCTCCCAAACAGCTCTCATGGACTCCTCCATTTATTTTCTTCAGAACAACCCTAGTCAACTTCCTTTCTTCATCACCAGCCAGAACTTTCTAAGAAAGTTGCAAAGTGATGCAACTGCGAAGAAGAAAACCTGGAAGAGTCGAAACACTGAATAAGCCAGACAGAGTTAACTCAAGCTGAATTATCCTCACTGCACAGATGTCATTTGCATCCGTGCAAGTAACAACCCTTAATAAGCTTTCAAAGCTGACACAGTATTCATCATTGATTAGATTTTTCAAATCAAAATGACTACTGCTTTTACAAACATGCTTAGATGAGCACTGACACTAACTCAGCGGATCGGTTTAAGCCACTTGCAATCATGCAGGTGCTTGGGCAGCATGTATTTTAGTCCTTGAAGGCTAAACCAGGCAGGGACCCCACTGCTCCATAGCGGCTAATGAATCACAGAATGGTTGAGGTTGGAAGGGACCTCTAGAGATCATCTAGTCCAACCCGCCTGCTCCAGCAGGGACACCCAGACCACGTGGCCCAGGGTGGCATCCAGGCGGATTTCGAAGATCTCCAGAGAAGGAGACTCCACAGCCTCTCTGGGCAGCCTGTTCCAGGGCTCTGTCACCCTCACAGGAAAGAAGTTCTTTCTCACATGGAGGTGGAGCTTCCTGTGTTTCAACTTGTACCCATGACCCCTTGTCCTGTCACTGGCCACCACTGAGAAGAGTTTGGTCCCATTCTCCCTACATCCTCCTAACCTAAGCCCTGGAACAGTCTAAAAGATATTTATAGATTCTGGATTTCCAATGTAAAATATTCCCAAAGTTTTCCACTGTGCACTGTGACTGGGTAAGGATGTAAGACCATGTAAAATCCCACATACGCAGGAGGGCAAATCAAGTTTTTATGAAAAATTTCCAACTTATACATGTTTGACTTCACAGGTTAAATAGCACTTTAAAATAGTTGTATATAGACCTACATATACCTGAAATAGCTGTACAGGGATTGATGAAAGTATAGAATAAATTAATTTTTTGGACATTTCTGGCTAATATTTTTAGTACATTTCTAAACAAACAGAAATTTTAAATTATTCCGGTGAGGAAAGCATGTAAGAAAAACTAAATTTTAACAGATGGTTTATGCTGACAAGAGTTTTAATTCACTGGATTTCATTAATATTTCCTTTCTTTGCAGAGCTCCAAATACAGAGATGTTATCAGAGATTTTTTTTTCGTTGTAAGAGTTAAGATATCTGATCATAGCTGCTGAGGGAAATTAAGTAGCCTTTCATGAGCAGCCAACTAAAACTGCTATAGGCACAAAGGGGTTTCGATATCCAAGAAATCACAATTAATTTCAAGTATGTGTAAGGGAATACAAGATGGGATGAACCATTTGTTATTTGTCATCTGTTTCATTTGATTAGAAATACACTGGTATTCACCATTTAGTAGAGTAGAAACAGAAATTGCTGTGGGTGATGAAGTAAAAAGATTATAGGTAAAAGGAGCAAATGAGAGAATATATATATATTTATATGCTTTATCAAAGCACATGATAGCTTGCAACTTGGCTCACTACAAAGGCACTTTATTACGCTGATTGCTATTGTTCAGTGAGAAAATTTCTAGGTTAAGTGGAAGTTAATAAAACCTCAGTAGTTTTACAGACATTTACTTGGCAATACATTTGACAGCACTCAAACATAAGAAAACAATAGAAACGTTAAGCACAACTCCACTGACGTGAAAACCACTTAAAGAAAGTTTCCTCAAAAGCGGAGCCTTTTTTGATTACTGCTGATAATTTGCCAGTCAACATCAGCGAGTGCAAGACGACAACTGTCTTCCTTGCTGTGCCTGAAATTGCTGAGGAAAACCACACACTACCATGGTAGTACCCAGGGAAGGGTGGAAAGAACTCACGTGATGTAGAGAATAGGAACTTTTTCATATATATGCCAAAGAAAGCAAATTAAATGTTACATTATACTAACCATCCATTTGTGTCTATGACGGTGGATAGCTTTTCTACTTTGGTACTTAATTCCCCTAAAACTTAGTTCATATTTAGCCAATCTATTTTTTTGGATGTGATCAGCCGAAAGAATGTACCAGAAAAAAAAAAAAAAAAAAGAAAATAAAGTTATTGCTACATCTGTGTACACGTAATGAAAATCCCTAGAAGAACACCTGTATATACACCCTCCTAACATATACCTGTATAGCCACACCAATACATACAGAGAGATACGTGTGTGTGTATATATGTATAAACACATTTATTTATATGTTCGTCCTCCCATCTCAGCAGGAGGACACTTCAGCAGTAAGGCAGTGAAAAAGGGTAAGAAAGAAGGATGGAACAGTTTGATAATGCTCCTCACAGATGCAGCTAAACTCCGGCATGAGCTACGCTTATCAGCGCAGCAAAACCAAAATAAATGAATAAAAGAGAAAAGTGATATGAGGAGATATTCAAAGATTTCTGATATTCATTTCATTGCATTAAAAATATTAGCAGATTAGGTCCCACATTTTGAAAACAGGAATATTACTTTTAGTAGGTTCCATTTATAGGCAGTCTGAAGATTCCCATGCGGACAGACAGAGGGCCAACTTTACTAAGTACTTTATTAGCCCTGCAGATTTTATTAACTGTGTATGAGACAATAAAATCTAATCATGCAAATAAGATTAAAGACTCTGACACCCACAGCATAAGAATTAACAAATAGCCATCTTGCTTCCTTTTTATATAGACTAATGAAATATTTAGACTAATTGCCCTGCAAATACTGAAGAATTAGAACTGCTAATTACATATAGCTTTAAAGAAGTATGCCTACTAATTAATAAACCATAGAGTCTTTGACATGACAATTTATATCCTCCAAGAGAAAAAAAAAAAAAAAAAAAAACAAGGGCAGAATATCTAGTATAAAAAAAATTCCACACAGCTGACAACTCTGTTTTAACTGTCTTAGGCCACAATTAATGTTGGTCCTGCAATTCCTTTTTTCTTTGATAGCTCCTTAGACGACATAGATTAATTCTTCAAGCATCAGCATTTACTAATAAGCATTTTAACAAGCTACAGCACAATGTTGAGATCGGTGAGAGAACCTATTCACTGACCTTCCAGACCTAGATTCTGTCTGTCCATCACGTTACGTTATATATCTAGGCAACTGGCCATAACTGATAAAAGGCTGTGACATGATTGAACCACTTCTCATCAACTGCGAGGTCACAGAGGACTGAAACTGTCACGCAGAGTGATTAAGAAGAGAGCCAAGGAAACACAAACCATGCATATTTGGAAATAAAAGACCATAAGGAGTCCCAAGTCATCCTCCATCATCAGATAGAGCAAGACTATGGTAAACTACAGCACTTACTGAAGTTTACGGCCTTGGTAATTTCCTATCATGTGGATATTCTATTTCTTCTATCTAGAATTCATGTTAGTTAGTATTTAGACATTTGTCTAAGGCTTTCAAGTAAAAAAAAAATACATAGGTTGCCTACACATTTCAAATTTTTATGACACAAAAGGAATTAATAACCCCTTCACTGTTACTCAAAAGTCTGAGGCCCAGTGATGAAGCCTCTGTTTACCTAGGCAAAATGCCACGAAGGTCATTCTCCAGCATTCACTTACCGTATGGATAACACAACATATGGACGTGTACCAAAGCAAATGGAGCAAACACTTAGTAAGAAGTTGAAATGGTGTCTTTGTACTAGTCCAAAATTAAAATATTCACAGGCTTAATTTTTATACAATAAACTACAATGAGGCAATAGCGATTTTATGATAGCTGTTATACCACCAGTGCTATTAGTCTTACACTATTAATAATTGAAACAAAACCAGTAAAAACAAGTTTCTATTTATATAATCTCAACTGAATTAAAATTATCCACAAAATTCTTTTTAAAGCTAGATATATGGCACTTAACATTACAGAGGGTTCCCTGCAGTGGCTGTGATACTGAGGTTCTTGCTTGTCCTTGATAGGTCAATTGAAAGTTAAAAACAATCAAAAACCCCAAGAAGCTCTGAAACATTGAGTATAGGTGAACTGCAAAAGGTAAGACTTATAGCGCACGATGATTCAGCGCCAATAAAAGAACAGGATGTGGGGAAGACTTTATGTATGGAACTGTTTAATTTCTTACCTCCAGAGCCTTCAAACGCTCCAACAGCAATTTTGTCTTTTCTTTCTCCTCTTCGGTGCTGCTGCTTTCACTTCTTGAATCTTCATCTATTGCCCCATGATTTTTTTCCATACCTTCTTTGCATTTTCTACTGTCTTCTGAGAGCTTTTCCTGAAATGATTTTTTGAAATGTCATTATTCACAGGTTAAAATGAAATTAACTATGCAAGTGCCTTCAAATCTCTTTTGTATATGAATGAAAAAAGAGACAGCAAGTTGCTACTTCCATAATTAGAGTACTAAATAAATGAGAGAAGGAATGATCTGTTAAACATGCTGCCATGCCTGCTCAGCAGAAGCGTATGCACAACTGAACTCCTATATTTACTTCAGAGTTAAAAAACATGGAACTCACCATTTCTGTTAATAAAATAACTCGCACTTTCTTCTTTAAAAGTAGCAATGTGAATTGAGCTTACCAGCTTTCAGTGGAAAGGTTCTGCCACTGAGATAAAAAGCAATTTACCCAGGAAAAGCTAACATATGTTTATGTCTAATGCATTTCACCTTCTCCATCTAGAGCTAATATTTGAATTTCTAAAGACCAGGCTGACAAGCACACTGCTACCGAGGAAGTATATTCCACTCATTGGTTTCGGATCCGCGCTAACATATAACTCGGGACACTCAAACTGACAGCAAAATTTGCAGAAGTGTCCCAATCTATTTATTGTAAGTCAGATCGATTAGGATATTAATAGGTGTTGTTGAGTGGGCTAGGGCTGCTGCGTTTCACAAGAGGTCTATAAAAATCATAGGTTTGAACACTAAGTCCTATTAAATACATTAGTTACGTGTTCAAGTCCTATGTGTGGAGAGATGGTGAGCATGACCAGTGAGCAAAGCATCACGAGTACAAATACCCAATGTAAAATATTGAATAAAAGGACAAGCATAAGGGGAAAAAGGGGTCAACTGCACAGAAAGACAGTGCAAATTATCATTTAAGTGCAACACAAGGTAGACTGACTCCATGCTGAAACCCATGTTCTCTACCAGCAGACACAGTGTGACAACTAATGAGAAGTTTAAGGTTGGAAAACGGGGTAAATCAATACTAAATAAAAGGTGCCACCACAAATCTAGAGAGATCTGTAAAGAGCATCTAGTTTTTCTGTGTGCCTTTTTGATATGTACATACACAAAAGGATACAACTCGATGATCTTCAGGCTAATCTACACCCTCAGGAGCACCTCCCATAAATAACACGCAATGCAAACACCATCTAAGCACAAAAATATATATTTTTGTGAAGAACTAATCCAGCTTGAGTAATCTGCTAAGTATGTGATAACTCTTTGAGAGTTAACAGCAGCACATCTCCTTAATTAAAACCCAGAAATACAACCGAATTAAAAATCAAACACTGTGAATCACACTTCTAACAATGTCTCCTTAAAAAATTAACTAGCTTAGAAAGTGACTATTACCATGTTAAAACTTTAATCGAGGATCCATTTTATCAGCTGTGGCCTTAATCACTGAATACTCTTACCCAAACCATGAGGCACAAATCCCATTTTGAGCCTCAAAACTTAGACTTCAAAGAGTCAATCCAAAGGTCCCAGCATTAGTGTTATCCTCATCATACAGGAACCATAAACATATTATGTTTGCCTCTTACTTGCTACTCCCTGGTGCAATAATCAAATATCCACAAAAAGCATTAAACAACCTTCCTGTCAAGTCGCCACGATGAGTACATTTACACAAACATACCAATCAACTGAAAAAAAAGGTGTTTTTTTTTGCATTTTTATTAAACATAGGCACCACTTTGATGCAATTCAAACATAAACAACTGATTTCAGTAGACAGAGATGAGGTCCCTTCCAACCTTAAGCATTCTACGATTCTATGTGATTTAGATATGGCTAAAAGGGGCAGATACCTTTCCTGCTGGAAAGGCTCACCTATACCTCTTATACTTCATCTCAGCAGAGAGAAAATACAGAAATTAAATATTCAGATCCTATTAAAAGGAAACCAGGATTTTGCTGCACACTGTAGCCCCTTTCCCACTGAAATTAATGTGAATTTTGCCATCAAGACACACATGGGTAGTTTTTTTGGAGATGGCTTAAACTGTCCTTGCTCTTCTGGAAGAAATAGTATTTTGCAGACCTAAAACAACAGCCTATCCTGCCTGTTCTCCCTATGCGCTCAGATTGACCTGTAAATCACAGAAATAGCGAAATGCTCACAAGGCCTTTGGTCAAGCCCCACAGGCCTCGCTGCAGTTCTCTGAGGAAGCCCTGGAGCGCAGTGACCTGGCTGCAGCTCATCACAGAGCTGCTCGGCAGCTGCCTGAAGGAGGAGGGGGCAACATAAGACTCTCCATTTCCACTAAGAAATATAAATAAGAAAGATGAATTAAGAGAGCAGGAAATTCACTTGAAAATCCAAATGATGACTGACCCTGAATATGTCCAAATATAGATGCACAACATCTCCCCTGCAGCCCACCTTTGTGAATACTGAACAAGGAAGTGTTTCCAAAGTTAAGCATAAATAAAGGGAGTAGTTATCACCAGAGGAAAGACCATGTGGAAGCTCTCAAGGAGATACAAGACATCAAACTCCATCCTCCAACCCCAGGACAGGCCAAGGCTGCCGCTCTGCACACAGCTTCAGGAGCGCGGGGTCAAGGGCACCGGGAGAAGTAAACGATATGAAATGATCCTGTCGGTCTCCTGGGAACCCAAGTTCCCGTTTTAACTTAGTGGAGATCCAGGAACAACCTGCACCATCTTTTGTCCAGACTCTTTTGAGAAAACGGAAATCATTAACACAGATGTCCACGGGAGCAGCTCGCACCAAATATGAATCAGAGACTTCCTTGAATCTTTGAGCCCTTGGAGATACTCAGATCTACACCTTCACAAGTGGCTATATTAACCTAACTAAATATAATCCTGATATAACTGGGTCAGCTCTGAGCAGGAACTTGGACCAAACTTCTGAAATTTATTAGCAACAATGATATTACAGTGGTTAAAAACTGAAATTCTTCTGAAGATCTTGGCTGCATTTACTCCAAGTAGCACACTTTAAACACATATTCAACCCAAGATTGAAATGTTCACAGGACACACAATGAGGCATTGCTTGTGATTGCTCATAATCATTGACTCGAGTTAAAAAACTCAGGATTGTTCAAAATGTAGCTGCTAACACATAATAGTACAGAGAGGCAATGATAACAGTGGTCCAAGGTTCCCACCAATACTCAACCCATCCTCCCTGAGCTAATGAAACTGCTCAGCACATTCAGCACCTTCCATGAAAACATCTTGGAAGCCTCCCAAGGACTTTCCAGATGAGACAGCAGGTGCATGGTTATCTTAGGCTTCAGCAACCAGATTTGATGATCCTTTCACTTCTACCACCCTCTTCTATTCTGAAGGCACTCTCTTAACTCCCATACTCAAACTGCAAATTACAAAACATACACAGAATTGTTTAGGGAAGAATAAATCCTGAATGGTGTCTCTTGGCAAGCCATCCTGCAGTCTGGATGTGCTGTTGGATGAGGCGCTCGTGATGCTCCTGCCGCCGCGGAGCTCCCGGGGAGCAGCCCTGCCCATCACTCCGAGCGAGCTCTCCGGAACGGGCACTTCCACGTTGTGGATGTGGATACAAACTGCGGATGAGCACTTCTTTGTGCTTCCATGAAAAACAGCCCCAAGCGACGTGCAACTAGCTTAATTCGAGCTGAGAAAAGGCAGCGATTTCTCCAAGTACTACTTCCTTAATATTCCAGTAAGATGAAAATTGTTTTGCAACGGCACCTTGCTCCCTTTCTCCCCTCAACTTCTTCCCTTTAATCATAATTAACACTTGTTTACTGTGCCTTAATCCCTCTTTAATATGCCCTTTGAAATTTGCAGTATCTTCTGATACGCTTTGCAACGCGTCTCACACGGCAAACCCCGGGGTGCCTAAGAGGCTTGGAGGATAATTCGGGGAGGCTGAGGAATTCACACACAGTTTCCAGCAAGATGCCCCATACGACAGCAGTCACTGGTGCCAAGGGGACATCAATTTGCCTGTTTCCTCAGGTTTATTTTATTATTTTAGTTTTCTTTATTTGGTAATGGGAATCCTTTCAATTCATTAAACTCTGTGACCCAGGTCTGGAAAAGAAAAGTAACTGAGAAATCAAATTAGAATCCTAAAAAGGTTACAGAAGACTTAGTAGTGTGATTAAAATGATCTCTCAGTGGAAGGCTAGAAATATAACTTTTGTTTTCACCTTGTTTTGAAATCTATATATTCAGCTGTGTCCTTTTGTTTTATTTTCTCCCAGTAGAGTAGGCTAAAATATAGCTGAGGTCTAGACAGCACATCAGTAAATACAAAAATAATATATTTTTTTGTGTAGCTGATACCTTTTGTTCAGAACAAGCTGACCAAAGCTGACGGAAGAAAAAGGGATGCATAAATATCACAAAATTTTACAGAAGTATCCCAAACTGTTCACAGTTTAACACTACTCTTTTAAGGCAAAATAAATAAAAATCTTCTTTTTCATCTCTGGATCTGACTTACAAAATGAACAAACTGAGCAGTAAAATCCCCCAGATTAAATACGTGTGATGGATAAAGGAATAAAGAGCTTTCTTTATGTCTCTAATATGAACCTACAAGCACTCACACATCAATCTAAATCCTCTACGTATTGCTCTTCATTCAACACACACCTCAGTATTCCAGACTATCACTCCTATTGAACAGATCAGCAGTTACGCTAATAAATTTCATGATGATGCTCTTAAATGCCTGTTCCATGTATCAGGCAAATATATTTCCTCTGAAAATGTTCCAATCTGAAGGGACTCTAAAAGAAGAAAACCTTCACAGTGAAATGAAATACAAAAAAAAAAGGGGGGGTAAGACTAATGGGTATTCCATGTCTTACCAGGTATGATGAGCCTATCAGACCAGGCAGAGCAGATGGAGTTTCTTGTCTTCAGGTCATCAAATGCAATTTAGACCCCAGTGTGCACGTGGACAGCCCCCACCTGGTGCCCAAATCTAGCTCGACACCATCGTGCCCCCAGTGCAGGGATACTTCATAGTGAGCAGCATCCTCACAGCTGCCACCTCA